ATAACCATCCTAGTAGCTGTGAAGTGGCATGTCATTGTGGGTTTGATATGCATTTCCCTAATGACTAATGATGTTGAGCATCTTTTCACATGCTTGTTGGCCATTTGTGTGTCTTCTTTGTAGAAATGTCTATTCAAGTCCTTTGTTCATTTTAAAAATTGGGTTCTTTGTGTTTATTGTTGAGTTACCTTATTTTTTGAAAGACATTCTCACTAGGTATAGAACTCTCGGTTGACGGGTTTTTATTTCTTTCAGTGGTTTTAAGATGTTGATCCACTACCTTCTCACCTGCTTTGTTTCTGACAAAAAATCTAAGAGCATCCTTTGTTCATCTATACATAATATGTTTTTTTCCTCTGGTTGCTTTTAAGATTTTCTCTCTATCAATGATTTTGAACACTTTAATTATGATGTGACTTGATGTAGTTTTCTTCATATTTCTTGTACGTGGGACTTGTTGAATATTTTGGCTCTCAATCTTGACTTTTTTATAGTTTACATCAAATTTGGAAAATTTCTGACCATTATTTCTTTTGTTTTTTGTTTTTTTTTTTTGAGGAAGATTAGCCCTAAGCTAACAGCTGTTGCCAATCCTCATCTTTTTTGCTGAGGAAGATTGGCCCTGGGGTAACATCCGTGCCCATCTTCCTCTACTTTATATGAGACACCACCACAGCATGGCTTGATAAGTGGTGTGTAGGTCTGCACCAGGATCCAAACCTGCGAACCCCAGGCCACCGAAGCAGAGTGCATGAACTTAATAGGTATGCCACCGGGCCAGCCCTGTGATCATTGTTTCTTCATAAAACTTTTATTTGTTTCACACAGGAGAGTAATCTAGTCCCTGGTACTCTATTCTGACTGGAAGTGGAAGTTTCATGTATGTAGTTTTGAAAGTCATAGTTCTATAAGATATAATAAGAAAATCAGTGGTCCCTTACTCTCCCCTTTGCCTGCTCTTTAGGCAAGCTTTTGCCTCTTTGGCTTTTTCTTTTGGCATTTATTTATATATTTCTAAACAACTTGCTCATACTCTCATTCTTCCCTCCCTCTTTCCAGTTTCAGATATTGTCTGTTTCTGAAAGATAAGGGTATCGCTCTCTCACACTTCTTTTCTTTTAATTATTTTATTGAGTTCACATAGTTTTATAACGTTGTGTAAATTTCAGGTGTATATTATTATAGTTCAGCTCCTGTATAGACTGCATTGTGTTCACCGCCAAAAGTCTGGTTTCCATCCATCACCAAACACATGGGCCCCTTTACCCTTTCTGCCCTCCCCCTGCCCTCTTCCCTTCTGGTAACCACCAATCTGTTCTCCTTATCTATGTGTTTGGTTGTTTGTTTATCTTCCACATATTCTGTCACACTTCTTACTCTACCCTTTCTCTCCCCACATCCTGCCAGTACAATTATATCATCATTTCTGATCAGAACAATTTTCAGAGTTTATATCATTATGACTGTCATTTTACAGCTGTGCTGTATAATTATATTTTATTTCCTATACTGCTTTTAATTTTAATGTTAGAGTTATTATCTTATATTTGTATATTGTATTTGTGTATTTGTATTTGCATATTTTCCTAAGACCCTATTGCTAATTCATCCCCAAACTCTCCACCTCTTCAGTTGACTAACTTATTAAGTGTCCCATCAATTGCACAGTCTCAGGGGCTACCCGCTGAAGCCTGTTGCCATCTGCTCCGGTTTTTGGATGCTGATTCTCTAGACCTGCCCCACAGCTGTCATTCTGGAGTCTCCTTTCCCACTCATCCAGGGGATTGTATTTGCTTCTCTCTCAGGTTGCATCTTTTGTTTCCTGCATCTAGGGTTTTTTTGTGTGTGTGTGTGTCATGAATATGGTCATTTCTTTCTTTATACGTTTTCTGTAATGTTATTCAATAAGTTTTTTAAAAAATTATTTTATTGAGGTCATATTGGTTTATAAGATTGTGTTATTTTAGGTGTACATTATTATATATCAGTTTCTGTATAGACTACATCTTGCTCACCACCAACAGTCTAGTTTTTGTCTGTTACCATACATATGTGCTCCTTTACCCCTTTCACCCACCTCCCCACCACCTTCTCCTCTGGTAACCACTAATCTGTTCTCTTCATCCATGTGTTTGTTTATCTTTTGCATGAGTGAAATCATATGGTGTTTGTCTTTGTCTGTCTGGCTTCTGTATATATATACACAACATCTTCTTTAGCCATTCATCCATTGATGGGCACTTAGGTTGCTTCTGCATCTTGGCTATTGTGAAAAATGCTACAATGAACATAGGGGTGCAGAAATCTCTTTGTACTGTTGATTTCATGTTCTTTGGATAAATACCCAGTAGTGTGATAGCTGGATTGTATGGTACATCTATTTTTAATTTTTTGAGAAATCTCCATACTGTTTTCCATAGTGGCTGCACCAGTTTACATTCCCACCAGTGGTGTATGAGGGTTTTCTTTTCTCTACATCCTCCACAACATTTGTTATTTTTTGTCTTGTTAATTATAGCCATTCTGACAGGTGTAAGGTGAGATCTCATTGTACTTTTGATTTGCATTTCCCTAATAATTAGTGATGTTGAACATCCTTTCATGTGCCTGTTGGCCATCTGTATATCTTCTTTGGAGAAATGTCTGTTCAGATCCTCTGCCCATTTTTTGATCGGGTTGTTTGTTTTTTGTTGTTGTTGAATTGTATGAGTTCTTTATCTATTTTGGAAATTAACCCCTTGTTGGATATATGATTTGCAAATACTTTCTCCCAGTTGGCGGGTTGTCTTTTCATTTTCTTGATGGTTTCCTTTGTCTTGCAGAAGCTTTTTAGTCTAATGTAGTCCCTTTATTTTTTCTTTTGTTTCCCTTGCCTGAGTAGACATTCTACTTGAAAAGATGCTGCTAAGACCGTTGTCAAAGAGTGTACTATTTATATTTTCTTTTAGGAGTTTTATGGTTTCAGGTCTTACATTCAAGTCTTTAATCCATTTTGAATTAATTTTTGTGTATGGTGTAAGACAATGGTCTACTTTCATTCTTTTGCATGTGGCTGTCCAGTTTTCCCAACTCCATTTATTGAAGAAACTTTTCTTTGTCTAATGCGTGTTCTTGGCTCCTTTCTCGAAGATTAGCTATCCGTAGATGTATGGTTTTATTTCTGGGCTTTCAGTTCTGTTCCATTGATCTGTGTGACTGTTTTTGTACCGCTACCATGCTGTTTTGATTACTATAGCTTTGTAGTATATTTTGAAGTCAGGGATTGTGATGCCTTCAGCTTTGTTCTTTTTTCTCAGGATTGCTTTGGCTATTTGGGGTCTTTTGTTGTTCCATATAAATGTTGGTATTCTTTGTTCTATTTCTGTGAAGATTGTTGTTGAGATTCTGATTGGGATTGCATTGAATCTGTAGACTGCTTTAGGTAATATGGACATTTTAAATATGTTTATTCTTCCAATCCATGAGTATGGAATATCTTTCCATTTCTTTATGTCTTCTTCAATTTCTTTAAAAAATGTCTTATAATTTTCAGTGTATAGGTCTGTCAGCTCCTTAGTTAAATTTATTCCTAGATATTTTATTTTTTTTGTTGTGATTGTAAATGGGATTCCATTCTTGACTTCTCTTTCTGCTAGTTCATTATTGGTGTAGAGAAATGCAACTGATTTTTGCAACTTGATTTTTTACCCGGTAACTTTGACGTAGTTGTTGATTATTTCTAATAGTTTTCTAGTGGATTCTTTAGGGTTTTCTATATATGGAATGATGTCATCCGCAAACAGCAAGAGCTTCACTTCTTTCTTTCCAATTTGGATACCTTTTATTTCTTTTTCTTGCTTAATTGCTCTGGCCAAAACCCCCAGTACTATGTTGAATAGGAGTGGTGAGAGTGGGCACCCTTCTCTTGTTTCTGTTCTCAGAGGGATGGCTTTCAATTTTTCACCATTATGTATGATGTTGGCTGTGGGTCTGCATCTAGGTTTTTGAGGAAGGAAGTGTAGCGGGCAGAGCCAGGACACTGTCCAGATAGCAGGACATCTTCTTAGTTCACAGTGAAGTCTCTCATGATAGAGGGTTTTGTAATTATGTGTGAGTTGGTTTAGTCGCTCCTTCTTCTTCCTCAACTGCCACAGATTGGTCCAAGATGGCAGCTGCAGGGATGTGTATCACTCACATCCCTTCTTCAGTCCTGTAGTGTGGTTGCAAACATGGTGTGTCTGCATGCTGTCATTAAGCTTCCCCTCTTCTGAGATTCCTTGTTGTCAGTTGAGGTTTAGGAAATGTCAAAAGCCCACCTTAACCTGCCAGCCTGGTTGTTCCAAACAAATAGTCAATAATTTGTAGTTCCAAACAAATTACATAAAAATATATAGTATATAATTATAATTATATATAAAAGGTTTTATTATGTAAAAATAGAATATATATTATATATAAAAGTACATAATATACATTTATATTTTTTTTTCACAAGATGAGAACTGCTTGGACCAGGGGAAGCTAAAGGATCTGTTCCACAGCAACAACGATAAATTACCAACTCAATCAGATTTGCTCCTTCCCAAAACTGAGCTATAAAATAATCTGAGAATTGCCCAGGTCTCAGTGAAAGGAAAAAGACAAAGCACCAAGAAAAACAATAAACAGCACACCCCAGAGATACCTCTGACCGTGAAAGCTTTCCAGTTGCATTCCACCTCCAGTCCATGTGTATCTTTGTAAAATTTCCTGTTTTCTGCAGGTGACCCAGGAGACCTTGCCACTCAGAGAACTCGGCAGAAACGGTTACCAAAATCACAGCATAAAAATAGCCTCTTGATCATTTCTCTGGTGGCAGTGGGCTTCCAGCAGACAGCTTCTCAGCCCATCTTATACACTTAATTCTTGCATCTGTCTGGCCTCAAGCCCTGTGGGAATAAATGAAGTGGCCTCAAGCTGTCGATATTCCCACCGCCCCTATTCTTGTCCTATTCTAATGGATCTATCTTCCTGTTTTCCAGGAGGACATTTCAGATAAGAATAGGACAAGTGCCCAGAAGATGAGTCTCAAGACTGATTTGGAAACAAACTTTGCTGAGTGTGTTTTAGACGCAGGAAAAGTCATCCTTGGGAATGAGCAAAGGAATAAAATGGACCCTCAATTGCAGGAGAAACAGAATAAAGTCATCTTGCATGCAATATGTGCCCTGATGAATTCTGGTGGGGGAGTGGTCAAGGCTGAGATTGAGAACAAAGAGTACAATTATGAAATTCATGGAGTAGGGTTGCATCTGCCTTCCATTTTCAATGGCTATTTAGACGAGATGCAGCAGGGAGACCTCTTTTTGATTTTTGTGAAATCATGGAACGCAGAGGCCTCTGGTGTACGGCTTGCTACCTTGTGCTCCAATTTGTACTACAGACATAAAACATCTACCAATGTCATGAATTCTCACGAAGCACTGGCATTCCTCAAAGAGAAGACTCAGACTCTTAGGAATATTAATTATTCCTATTTAAGTCCACAGAAAGTTCGGGTTGGTGTACAAAATGAAGGTAACATAAAGGCCTCAGCCGCTGCTTTATTTGACAGAGCTCACCTTCAGTACCTGGAAAAGCTCAACTTTACTAATTCCACGCATGTTGAATTTAAAATGTTGTCAACAGAGGTGTCACAATGCTTTAAAGAGAGTCTCCCCAGTTGTGTTTCTGCGTTTGCAAACACTGAAGGAGGGTTTGTATTTTTTGGTGTGCATGATGAGACCCATCAAGTCATTGGATGTAAAAAAGAGAGACTAGATCTTACCGCCTTGAGGGCTTCTATTGATCACTGTATTAAGAAATTACCTGTCCATCATTTCTGTACACAGAAGCGTGAGATAAAATATGCCGTCAAATTCCTTGAAGTACACAATCAGGGTGCCCTCCATGGATATGTCTGTGCTGTCAAGGTGGAACCATTCTGCTGTGCAGTGTTTGCTGAAGTGCCTAGTTCCTGGCAGGTGAAGGACAATCATGTGAGACAGCTGAGCACAAAGGAATGGGTAGCTTGGATGACGGAAGCCGACCCAGGTCAGGGAGCAGAATCCACAGTGATTGTAATGTTTGCTGGGACAGGGGAGGTGGGGATGGAGGAAAGGGAGGTATTATTTTAGAATCTGGGGAAAGAGAGGTACTCTGAATTGCAGATGACTGATTTATTAATTCCTATAGACATAGTCGGTGGGTCATTGCCCTTTTTTCATCTGCCCATCTTGAATATTCTGCATTCAACAAACGGATACCCTGGGCTAGTAAACCCACTAGAGGTTGGTGCAGGCGGCTGTTTGACCTGGAAATTTCTATTTTTACATCCTTTCTTGTGTTCATATTCAAGTTTCTTCTTTTCCTTTTCATGAACTCACATTTTTTCAGGAAATTCCTGTTTCACATGTACATATGTGTGCCCTTGAACTTACTGCCCCATTCCCCTGCCTTCCCATTCTTCTGTGGTTCCCTGGATGAAATATTCTCCCTTTCTCATTGCCCCACTTTCATTTTTGAACCCAAACATGACATGGCTGTCCCTCTCCTTTCTCACATTTCCTTTTGAGAGCCAACATGTGATGCTAACTGTGACTGATGAGCCAAAGAGTAGTCTTGGTGATATGCATCCACCTTGGAAAAGGAAAGCCTGAGATAAAATTAGACAAAAGAAAATCAATGGTAACTTCTTCAAAAGTCCAGAAAAATGAAGTCCATTTCAGAATCTTCTCAGAAATCTATATCCATTGACCTTCACATCTTCTAATCATATTTTTTT